AAAATTATTTAACAGTAATTAGCACCGTTTCCTAGTTATTCTGATCTCAAATTCCTTTCCGTGCAGGTATTTAGGGGCCCACGTTTGTTGCATGTTTCTTCCACATACACTGTCACGTACGGATCATCCTTGGCTCAGCCAAAAATCACTTCAAACTGAAAAAACAAATTCGACGAAACACTACGCCATAGTCTCTGCTGCAATTGCCGAATAACTGAAAAATGGAGATCAGGCGGCCGGGCCCATAGCGTGACGTAATAGGAAGAGCGGAGAGGCCGTCAGTCTATGCGGTGTTGATTGATCCCACAAGTGATAACGTCACAACATGGCGCTGCGTTCCAAACTAACCGTTGCTAGGAACGAATACATCGGGGCTCAACGTGAGGTTAAAGTTTGCCTGATAAAGAAAGTTAATAATTTTTTATGAGCATTTTGTCTTATCAATATCTAATATTGAAGACATTTTCTATCGTCTCAGTGTCACAAGTCAATTATAAAAGCCCGTAATAAAGCTTCACAACCGGTTATGCCTCTCTAGCAGACGACACAGTAGCTTCGTGGGTTCAGTGGTTCTTCTGGGGGAATACGTGACTGGTTACATTTAAGGTCCCTATATACTGAGAGGTAGTGCAATTCCCCATCTCCACGTTTTCCGCCTTTCCATCGTGGGTAATCCTCGCCCTCCCGTGCCATGCCCCCCCGCTGCCATTTTCGTGCAAGGCCCACAAGGCACGCTCTTGCGTGCCAGGCCATACTTATTTGCTATTGCATACAACAGACTAAACTTTTTTTTTTATTCATGAAGACAGTTTCATTTATTTAACATGAAGAAACTAGCATTTGTGCACCTTATCGGAAAATGTAATAATGTGAGTCGCTCAGCTGTGAAGACAAGCTTTTTCCAATTCCGCTGAATGCTGACGATTTTCAAAGATGCCAATGCAGTCCCAAGCATTTTGGAACATCAACATGCACTGCAAAAATATATTGCGTTTACTGCAGCAAGTGCTGAGAGCAGGCGCATGATAGAAAGCACCTTCCTGCACGTAAATGTAGTTCTGGTGGATCATCGCAAAAGGAATGCTTCGCTGGCGGGAGCTCGTGCCGTCACTTTGAGCACGGATGGAGCACGCGCTCACAATGCCCGCAATTCTTGGCGTACGCTCTACTAAAACTTTCTATACTCTATCTCAGGAGTTGTGTTCAGTAAAGGCATAGGTGCAGGCACATGACTTTCAGATTTCCTTTCCTTTCGTGATTCGTGAACGCTTGCGAAAGAAAAGAAAACCTTAACTACGCGGTTGCGTCTAGCACAATGCACCTAGCACGAAAAGTGCAAACCCAGAACTTTTTGGTAATGTTTAGCATTACCAACCGATTTGCTTAACCAGCAGCTTGGTTTACTTTGTATATGTTTTATAAACATTGAATACTACCTGCAACTGTGCACATGTGCATGGAGTAATATCTGACATCTGCTATTTATGCACCTTGTACGTTTCACCATCCATCAAATAGTCAAAACTTTTGCGACCGATCTGGTGTCCTTGTCATTGAAAATTTTGCTTTCCCGTCGGCACGGTAAAAAGCTTCTTCCTTTTCACCGTGTTGTTCATACAATCTACGATGCAGCAAGATGGCATCGCATTGCCACCAACGTCGTAAAACAAAAAAAACAACCTGCGGCCGGAAGGGAGTTACACCATACCTTGCACGAAAATGGCGCCGGTTTAAGGTAGACCACCAAATTGCTCGTGATCATGGGAAGTTGACAGTCATTTGTTGTGCCTGATCCAATTGAAGGGAGGGGAAAGATAAGTTTTTAGAGGGAAAGGGCATGGGGGGCGGGCAGGAATTTCTTTTTTCCTTTTCAGGCAATGGTTTGCGCCACCTTTCTGTATTGGAGACTTTAGTTAAATTAAGTTGGTGACGAGTGACAAAACTTTTATTCTTGGGGTCAACTTTCTGTGATATTTAGGAAGCGAAGAGTGCATGTGCAAAGCTTTGAACGATGCTTGAGGTGCGTGAGCGCACAAATGCCCGCTTTTGGAGGCTTCTGCAATATCTGAGAAAAATGAAAACACTGTAAAGCCGAATCACATATGACGACGACTTAGAGTGTATCGACATCGAAGTGCAGGCCAACCGACGAGGCCAGGACAGATTTCAAGGAGTTCTGACGGCACAGTTGCTTCAGTGCACATTTGTGTGATCAAAGGAGCTGTCCGTAGCAGATATATAGGCTGCCTGATGTTGTTATCCAGCTCTTTCGCTATTTAGGGCCGTACTGAAAACGGAAGAATCAGCAGAATTCTTTCTTGGTGTGATGTTTACAAGCCAGGCACAAAACACACACCCGCATTGTGAGCCGGAAAAAAAACAAAGTTTGGGGTCTCGAACCGTTATGTTAGATTAGAAATAATGGCTCCTGTAAAATAAAAAGAGGGCCTGACGTCGCTTCGATATGATGTACTAAACAGATGCTCCTCTCGTGGTATTAGCAGATCTCTAAACGTGTGATGGTCTTCGTCAGACGGTATCCTTATAGCATGCAAATACAATTCATTTTTATATAGACGCTTTACAGCAGCTGTGCATGGACGCCGCCATAACTGACCTTCAGTTTTTGTTCCCTCTTATTCCGTTCGCTTCACTTCATCATTACCACAGCAGGACAGGTTATTGCCATTTTAGAAGCTACTGTGTTCTTGTGCCCAGCATAGGCCCTTGTGAAGACCCGTCAACGCCCGCTTCAGTGGCTCGGCATCTCGGTAAGACAAGAGAAGGGCGGCTATGGCGGCTCAATCTGGCGCGTGTGTAAAGCGTCTATAACTGACAAGTTTTCTTAGACCTGCTATGTCCCCAATAAATACGAGACCAAAATCGTAGCAATATGCGGACGATTTAAGCTATTGCAGACGGCATGCCTCGGTCATTCCGGACGCGTTCGTCGTCTGCAGCAGGCATCTTAAGATGAGCCGGAAGTTGCCGTCGCAAATATTTTAGAAACAGCCGATCCTCGGCATACTTCTGTCATGAGTGTAAAATCTAGGCCTCCTATATCTATTTTCTTTAGACGTGTAAACTCGGGATCCGATTTTTGAACAATGGTTCTTTCCAAGCAAAATCCGGTCCCATATATCCATTCATAGCAACGCCCCTAGCAACAGTTTGTTTTGGAGCAGTGGCATCACACCTACGGGGTCACTAGTGGTGTGCGTGCATTGTCGAGAAAGGAACTCTCTTACACACAAACTACAGAGCTGTGGCTCTTGCGCTGCGCCGCGAGCATGGAGGAGCTTTGTTGTGTTAAACTATTGTCAGTGCCGTTCTTCTTCTTTTTCTTAAAAAAAAATATATATCAATAAAATGGGTTCCAACGGACATGAAGCCTGCCAGGGTCCATGTCCGTGTGTATTCATTTTCGAGGTTCTTTAGATGCGCCTGCTTTCTGGTGTTAAGACATAATTATTTCATATTGCTTACATTCATGTTGCGACATACTTAAAATGCTTTCAATCAACAGGACCGCTTCACTGCTGACCAGTTTGAGGCTCTGGTGTTGAGGAACACTGGGTTAAAGAGGCTCAAGCAGAATGCTGTCTCAGCTATCTTCAGCCACCAACCAGCCCTGATGGGAGTAAAGCCAACCTTCAAAAGGGAAAAAGCTGATCATAGTATGTACATTAAAAAAAATTTCATATCTGTGTATGAAATATTGTTCCAGACCTGAGAAACTAACCATTCCATTTCCTTTATCAAGGCTCATTGTGCTTTATCTAAGTTTTGTACAAGCTATTGATTCCTGTTTTTGTAAATGTAGTTTCACAAGACGCGCAAGTCCGTGACGAGCGGCCAGTTGCCAACTATGAACATAGCGGCTACCAGTGAGTGTCTGCAGTTCACGACAAACTCGTAAACTTTCCACGACGGTTTCTGCTTACCATTTAAGTTGTGTCTTCTGCAAATGCAGGTTCGCATGTGGAAGCACCCCCCCTGACATGTGGCCAGTCGCCCACTGAAAATTCAGCCGTTGGTGAGTGACTGCAGATTGCTCCCAATTTCGGGACTGTTAAATGCTCCATGTCCTTTGTCAAATGCAGGCTCGCACAGTGACACACAGTCACCTAGGCGCGGCCGGCCACCAACTGGAAAGCATGTCATTGGTGAGTGAACAAACTTGGGAACTGTTATCAATTGCTTGGGCCGACTATTAAGCTCGTGACTTCTGTAAATTCAGGCTTGCATGCTTATGCTCTTTCTTCGACGTGTGACCAGTCGCCCACTAAAGATCAAGCAGGGGTGGGATAGCTGCGCCAATTGCGCCATTTTGATACATTCCCAATTTTCACATTTGGCGGTGCCAAAAGCTTAAAATCGACCAGAATTGTGCCACGCTGCTCCAAAGGTCATGGTGGCGCTAGATTTAGCAAAAAATGAAAGCTCAATTGATGACCATGGCTATTCGATTGCCAGGTGGCGCAAGCCACCACCCGTTTCCTTGGTTCAGCCGTATCTGTCCATCCACCCATCCGATGAATTCAATGTATCGTACATCGCACTTGTACGATGCATGATGAAACGTGGCATGTAACTTTTATGTTGCCGAGTTGTTGTGCCCCTTCTTTTTTAATCGAAATTTGTTTCTGTAAGTAAATATCTTTCTGTGTGTAATTTCAGATATTTCACAGTAAAGTTCTGTGCGGCGTGCAAATCCCTCTGTTCTTTGCCCACCTTGTGCTTTTTTTGACCCTCTGGATGCGCACACATGCTCGTGTTTCCTTCCGACCTCAACGAATGAAGGCGCGTGCTTGCCTGGAAAGCGCATTCTCTTTGTTGTCCTTTGATTGGCGTGCCCCTCCCTGCGTTCTGATGTGCCAAAGGCGCTTCTTGAAAGACTTGCTCTCGGTATTTAATACTTTTTAGCATATGTAGTACAAACCCGACCATGAATGCTTCAACTTACTATTTACCCTTGTTTTCTGTACATACAGGCTTACAGGCCAATCCATTGTCCCCGATGCGTGGCAAGTTGCCAATTGTATACCAACTCATCAGTGAGTGACTGCAGCTTACTTCAAGCTTTTGTATTGTTATCAAATGCTTGTGCCGATCATTAAGCCCTTGTCTTCTGCAAGTGCAGGTTCGCATGCTAATGCACTGTCCCCGATGTGTGGCAAGTCACCGACTGTAAACAAAGTTATCGGTGAGTGATTGTTGGTTACTCCAAGCTTGAGAACTGTTATCAATTACTTGTGCCTATTATTAAGCCTGTGTCTTCTGCAAATGTAGGGTCACGTGCTAATGCACTGTCCCCGGCTTCTGGCGAGCCACCGACTGTAAACCAAGCCACTGGTGAGTGACCGTGACTTATTCCAAACATTGGAATGTTCACTAATGCTTCAATTTACTATTAAACCCACGTCTTTTGTAAATCCAGACTTCCGCGCTCACGGGCAGCTTTCAACTTGTAGCAAGTCGCTAAGCATAAATCAAGCCAATAGTGAGTCAACGAGATTTATTCTGAATTTAAGAACATTTCCACTATTTCATGCTGACTGTTGAGCCTGTGAAATTGCCACTTGTTGGCTGGGGTGGCATATTAACAGTGATGTGATTGCTGCACCAATTGCGCCAAACTGCGCCAAGGGGCTAACCCTGCTACATCCTGCTACATTTTGCCAAGATATGGCTAATCTGCGCCAAGCCTGCACCAAAGGAGCAATTTAGGTCGCCTTTCAGAACCGAAACTAAACCGAGTACTGTAATTGAGGCGTGTGTTATGTGGCACAAGCGGCCGCCTGACACAAAGTACCGTGCATCAATTGTCCACTCGGTCTTGCATGGTTTTTCCGGCGTCTCGCGTTTCGCGCTCTTGTCTTGTGGGTCTCGTCTCTCGTCTCTTTTTTTTTATATTTTAAGCGATAGACGCGGATGTGTGCAGACACTCCGACGACAGCGTGCCGGGTACCAGCCATGCCGTCGTGCTGTGAAACGAAACCCTGTTTTTGCATGGAAGGAGTCACTTTGCTAGCTGAAGCAACGGCCATGGGAAAACTATATTTGGTCACTGCCTTTCAGTCACCGTGGTCGCGCGACGTTGAATGTTGCCGTCCCCACATTACTGCAGATATGGTACTTTCTAAACTGTAACGTAAGGACCGCCGCATGTTCATCAACATTCCTGTTGTTTAAATTATACGTTTCTACAAAAATCCATCTTTAATTCAAAGATTGCTCTGTCAAAGTAGTGATTATCTAGATTCCTCTCGGTGGGCCTTCTTTCGAGAGGGACCTCACTATGTGAAAAATCTGCCGTGAAAGGAAGTTGGTGAAGGGAAGTGAGCTAAAGCAAAGAAGGCAATGTCTGCATGCTGAACCCGCATAGCGCGCTTGTGTTTGTCTCGAGTTCAGTCGTTTCACAAAGCGCTCCAAGAATGTTTTGAGGCTGGCTTGCAATGTCTTGCATCGATGCGCTCAGGTTCTTTATTTTTTGTGTGCTTAGCTTGTACCTTGTTTTCCGGCCTGGCAAGCACGCGCCACTGGACTGTTTTTGTTGCATGCTCAAAAGTTGCATTTTGTGTACAATTTTGGGGATAAGTTAGCGACGGAACTGAGGGGCATGGTTTCGGTTTCGATCGGACAGCCGTTGTCTGCGCTCGCCCGACGAAGTATGCCCAATAGCAAGCCTGCCGAAGTTTGCGTCACATGCATGCGAACATGATTACGTGACTCAGGCACCAGCTGGGACGCTTGCGATTCGTTGTTTTAAGTTTGCTTACTTTTGACGAAAATCTGGCACGTCTGGAACCAGTAAAACGGTGGCTACAGCATTGTACACTTGTGGGATGTCTGAGCAGTAAAAACAGAAGCAGCGAGTTGCATCACAACACGTCACATCAGAACACAACACAACACAAAGTGCCCTTCTTTTGTACAGCACTTAAAACAAATATTTTTATTTTCCTAAGAATATCTGCTCCAAAATCCACTTTTGCTGCTCCGAAACGCTGTCTTGGCTGCTCCAAAAGCCGCTTTTGCTGCTCCAAAACACTGTTTTGGTTGCTCCAAAGGCCACATTTGCTGCTCCAAAACACAGTTTTGGTTGCTCCGGAACGTGCGCCAAAATGGCTTAGGCCAATCACATCACTGTATTAACGATAACCTGAAAGTCTAATTTTAGACTCGAGATGCTTCTCTAGATTTCCTCGTTGCATGTCCGTAAACATTTTTTTTTTTAATCTAAAAAGCGATGGCAAAAGATTGGAATTCTTTATGGCGTGGAGGTCCTGTTTTGGTCTATAGGCAGGAAACAAAAGGTGCAAACCCTGGGTGGTCCTTCCGCAATGTAAAGCTTCGCCCCCAAAGAGTCTGCGTTGTCGGATAGCCTCAGTTGGTTTGCGGCATAAAGCCACAATATATTCACTTGTGACAAAAAAGTTACAGTATTTGCTAACCAAGTTTAAGGGAAAACTATGTCGGTACTGTCCATGTAATAAAATTTAATGAAAATCGTGACAAAGACACCTGTCCATATACTGGACCAACAATGCAAATAATGGATTGCTGTTTGCTCACATTTCACTGACAGGTTCATGAACTATTTCTCATGCAGGTCAATATTCTTCATAACAGAATCAGATACCACCTTTACGCCTGTCCAGAGTCAGTAAGGCGCACGAGATAGAGAAGCTGACGATAAACACAGGCCAGGGCCTAAGGAAACAAATTATTTTGTCATTAAGAACTGCGAAAATTGTGACAGCAACAGAATTTCGTCATCTTCAGAAGACTTTAGTCTAATCAACGACCTTGTTGTCAAATATTCAATGTTGTCGCGATTAGGCATGAAGTTGTTCGTCATCGGCCTGCATCGCAAAGGGTGCTCCTAGTTTTACCTTCCCATTTGCTCTAAACAGGACTTTAAATGCACCACAGTGTGCGGTTGACTTTAAATGCACCTGAGAGCAGAGAGGACTTACATATTGGTATAACGGCTACAGCCTGCTTGTCAGTGATTGCCTTTGCAAATGCGACTCAAATACGGCAGCAGCAAACGCCTACAGTGGTTGCGTCTTGGAGCAAACAATACGGCAGACGGTAGGGATGAAGGGGGAGACATTGTCGAAAGAGAGGGTGAAGAGGCAGTGGAGAGTGACATGTCACTACTTTTCCAAATAATGCACAATCAATGTAACTGCACTTCTAACAGTGCAGTGCGCTCACTTTATTAGTGTGACTTGTGTGATCTCCCCGCCCGTTCATCGAAAAGTGGTCAAAGTGAGTGAAAACTAACGTAAAGGCGTCGTTTGCCTAACGGCACTGCAGGGGTCTTCTTCAAATCGATGCCCAAGTTTTTTGGTATTTTTTTTTTTCCTAGGTAAATTGAATGAAGCATAAGGTAGGGGGTTCTCGTGTTACGAAAACTCCGAGATAGCAGAGCGTCATGCGAGAAGGAAAAGATAAACAAGAAGACAGAGTAGTATATAACTGAAGTCGAACATAATTTATGTGACGCCACGAGTCTTTTTCGAGCCGCCTGATAAAGTTGTCCGGAGTTGACTGGTTAACTGTCACAGTTGGCTACTTTGTGCTGGGAGAGAGGGATAGGGTGTTTAAAGGAAGGCTTTAAAGAGGCAGGGGAGAATACGAGGCATAAAAGTTAAAAGATTCGAATGCCAGAAACACGGCACCGTTCACGGTTGCGGAGGTTTGTTCCCTCTAAAAGCAGAAATCCAGGCGTGGTTCCCCTTAGAAAACAAATGAGAACCTTTGCGGCATTTACCTTCTTAATTATGATAGGTCCTGGGTAACAAACGCTTCTGGCACAAAAAAGCGGCGGTTATTCGGGCATGTGAGCGTGCTTTTGAGTTTACTTCCTGCTAGTCCGTCATCTATCGGAGGTTAGTAGGGGCACAGATTGGACGCGAGTGCTGTGTCAGCGTTCGGCTGGAACTCGCATTCTCACCAATTGGATGTGACTTTAAGCCCAGTACCTACACACAACTCGTGTAATGGTCTTCTACCTGTTTTTTTTTTGTTTTGTTCATGTACAAGGTTTAGGGCAATAAGATAAAAAACAGGTTTGCTGTGCCTGACGGTGCCCTGTTACCCATCTACATTGCTCAGCAGGTAACAACAACTATACAACACCGGAGAAAGAAAAAAATTAAAGCAGGAAGAACATTAAAAAAAAACAATTTTAGCAAAAAAGCAACTACATACCCATCCATAGTAACCCACAGACGTAGGAAAATAAAAAAACGGACAGAACAACAAAGTCTCTAAGCAACTACATATTTTGTGCAGTTGTTACTCAAACAATCGTACAGGGTTGCAATGAACGAAGCATGATGTACAGTCGCCCAATTTTTTAATAATATCACGCAAGCGTCCACCGCCGGGACGGCCAGCGCTATGCTGCGGAGAAATGCGGCGTCACGAGAGAGATTAGGCGTGTGCGCACAAAGCTCTCTCCGGTGCGAGCGTCGTCTGCTAGGCTATTCCGTTGACCGCACACAGCCCCTGTTCCTTATCTGCTGGTATAGCTGACCGCCTTTAAGCTAAGATCTGAAGAGCGCTTGCTTGCTTGCTTGCGTGATATCGTGATACTGCTCAGACGTGAAAGAAATTGTGCGTCATCTCGTTTAATATAGCTTTTTTTTTTTTATTCTTTTATTTTTAGTTTGCACTTACTTTGTCAGCACCAAAAAAAGAAAAATACGATGACGCGACAAGCTGAATGCAACGATGCATTAAACTATATACCATAGCTAATGCTACAAGCCATCAGAACCAATCCAGCACTGTCACCCTGCCACGTGGCGTTGTGCTTCCACGTGCAGTTGTGCCCAACAGGAAGGCCACGTGACACACTCTTAGCGATAGCAGGGGCTGTGTGCGATCAGCGGAATACCCTAGTGGACAACGCTCCCCAGAAAGGGCTTTGTGCACATGCGTTTAATCTCTCCCGTGACGCTGCATTTCTTTGCAGCACGGCACTGCCCGTCTCGGCGGTCGACGCTCGCGTGATATTATTAAAAAATTGGGCGACTGCACATCCTCAAGATTACAAGCGTGCGTCGCAGCAAGTGACTAGGGGCAAGCCACGTGGCACATTCAGTCTTTAAAAATATTTTCGGAATCAAATTAAATAATGTTGACGATTGGGATAAGTTGGTTTGTTCTCAAAAGTACAACGACGGGGACAGAGTGAAAGAAGACTGACAGACAGCAGCTCCGGCCTCGTGCGCCATTGTCCTTTTTAAGTTTTTGGAGTTGAAATCCTTTTCACGTTTTCGGGAATCAAAAATAAAAGTTTCATAGCTTGGAATACTGTCTTTTACCCTGTCCTCGTCATTAGCCGCTTCTATATTTTTTTTTAGAATTGAAGGACACAGAGGCACTGTAATTCCAAGCAATTCCGGGTTTCTTTGATGACGGCGCGTTGGTACGTATCCGCGCAGCAAAGAGGCGTCCGGGACGTTCGGGGCAAACCTGCTGCATTCCGGGATGCTCGAAGAATGACACAAGGAACAAGGAGGTCTCTTGGCACAATTTCCCGGCCGACGTCGAGCTGAAGAAGCAGTGGGTGACGCAGATCAACCGAGCCATGCCGGGCCCGTTTTGGTGGGAACCAAAACCCAGCAACAAAATCTGCGGGGACCACTTCAACGCCAGCGGAAGGAGGAGGTACGAAGACAAGATCCCAAGGTTCTTCCCCCCAAGGCCGGACGCCGAAGCCCCGAGAGCATCACGTACGTAGCGCAGTTGTCGGTGAGACTACGATGCCTGGATTACATTTTAGAACGTGATAAGTGCACCGATCGGAGACGCCTTCCAGGCTTCGTAGCTCTACCAGTGGCTCTACTCTGTGGTTTGAAGGGGCAGCGGCTAGTCGGGTACAAAGTGTTTTCGCAGAAGCCCTCACGTCGTTCACAATTTCAGAAAAGGTCTGTGGTACAATCTGTAAGCTAACAGCAGTGCCACAACTGTAAAGACTTGTTAACTTGTTGGAAACTGGTTTCTGAATGAAACGGAGCAGGCAAGATATGTAAAGTGAAATATAAAGGGTTGTGTTCCCATTTACGCTTGAACAATGCCCGTACAGATCGAAATCAAGCTCGATATCCGCCCATTTATCTTAGCCTCGTCTAGCTCTAAAGCACAAGGTGGCAGTGCCGCATGCATACAGATCACGCTGCGCTCTGTAGGCTTGAATTGTGGGACCGCTCTTAACCGCATAACTGTCTTCCCCTTCTAGCCCACCATACCTAGGGTCTGCTTTTCAGTTGTTTCTTCTTTTACTTAATTGTATTTTAGAGTGAAATGAAAATGGCAGTCGACAGTCAATGCTTTACCTGTGTTTTTATTTACAGGTAATTAATTGCCTGTAATTTTTATCTTGCAAAATATCCTTTCACATTATATTTTGATTGATTTAGTTATGTTCCTTTGTGCTCTTTCACTTTGCAGACCTAATTACAGCCGCCATTCAGCAACCTCTGGTCGTCGTCAGTGTACCGAAAGAGGAAGGTATGGATGGATTGTTTGCACAAATTGCTTTGAAAAAGTACAAGCTGGATGTAGCATATGGTAATTTGTGGATTTAGTTTCTGTGTTACAGTTTCATACTAAAATCTGGGGTTCCAGTTTATAAGGCTTTGAAGTGTTCAAACTTCACTGATGTGCACATTTTCTATGTTCATAGTTGTAGAGTTTTTTTTAGCTTTAAGCTCAGCACTCAAGAATGTCTTTGAGGTTAAGAATGTAAAAATTAAAAGATTTTGACATTTCGTTTTTCAAGTTCAAGTTTGAGAAGTTTTAATTTTTTAAACCTCAAAACTCAAAGTTCAGACCTAAAGAATTACTTTAAAAAATTAAAGGTTCACAGAATAGATAAGAGTCACAGAGTTCAGAATGTTTTTTATAAATATATTTATCGCTGAAACACGGTCAAATCAAGAAATGAAACCCCGCTTCTTGGCCCGCATATACTATAACTATGCATCGTGGAAACCTCTAACTGTGTGAATGTGAAGCTAGCGGTAGCGATAGAATGCACAAACTTTGAGAACAGGACGTTACCTGGCTCAAAGGATAAAACAGAAAAAGGAAATTTCTCTTTGAACCCCATTTATTTAGGCCTAATATTCGTTAAACTATGAAATTATATTGTGGTCACCTGGGGCAATTATTCAATGAAAAGAAATTGTGAGCATGGAAACAACCATTTTTCTTGTGGTGACTACGGGTCATGTGGTTGGTGTTGTGTTACATTGCCATGGTGTCGCGTGACACCACGGCAATGTAACACCATGACTATGTCACATGGCTTCCCATAAAGCTTGCATGATTTTTTATTTAGGGCACGCATCCGAGTCTTGACACTTCACTGGCACAAGGGCAAAGCATTAAATTGCGGAACGTGAGGTCCAGGGTTCGATGCATGTCTAGGGATCAAGTGTTTTTTGTAAAGACACCTGGTTGTGCTACCGTATCTACTCGCAGAATGAACGCACTTTTTTTCCCGAAAAATCGATGCAAAGTTCGGGGGGGGGGGGGGGGGGGGGGGCGTTCATTAGGCGAAGTAAAATTTTTGCGTCCGTATTTACTCGCATAATGAACAGACATTTTATTCTGAAAATCGAAGTAACTTCTTATCTCTTTGCGCGCGGCGCCCGACCCCGTAACCAAACTAAGCTGTGAAAAAAAAAAAAAAAATGACGTTTTTCGCAAGCTGTTTTGTTTGCTTAGGCGTTGCTTAGGCGTGGGCTCTCCGCTTATCTTTCTTATCTCCTTGCGCGCGACGCACGACCCCCGTAACCAAACTGCGCTGTACAAAAAAAAAAAAAAACTAAGAAAAAAAAGTTCCTCTTTTTCTTTTGTTGTTTTCTCAATTCCGTTTTTTTTTTTTTTTTTTTTGCCGTTTTTTGCAGGCTGTTTCGTTTGCTAGAGGGCTTCTCAGCTTCTCTTCCTTACCTCCTTGCGCGCGGCGCGCGACCCCCCCCCCCCGCAACCAAACTGCGCTGTGCAAAAAAAAAGAAAAAAAAGAAAAAGCTTCTATTTGTTTTTGTTTTCTCTTAGTTCCGTGTTTTTTTTTTCTTTTGCCGCCTTTTGCAAGCTGTTTCGTTCGCTTAGAGCGCTTCTCTTTCTTACCTCCTTGCGCGCGGCGGCGCGCGAACGCAAAGCCTGCGCTGTGCAAAAAAAAAAAAAAAAAAAAAAAAGCTCCTCTTTATGTTTTTTTTTTTTGCTTCCGTTGGATCTTTGGGAATTTTTTAACGCCTTTTGCAAGGCGTTTTGTTTGCCCACCCTGCCCATGCATTCGCGACGTCGCTGCACCAGGATAGAAAAGTGCGTTCATTTCGCGCGCGTGGGGGGAGGGGGTCAAAATTTTTACGTCCAGTTGAGGGTGCGTTTATTACGCGAGTGAAAAAAAAAAAGTCGAAATTTTGAGAGCCGACTTGGGGGGTGCGTTCATTACGCGAGTGCGTTCATTGTGCGAGTAAATACGTAAATACGGTATGTTGTTTTCATGACAAAACATGGAGTTAGGCTAGTTAGTTTAACATGACTAAAGTAAAGGAGAAAAAGAAAAGAAAAATGTGTGTGTGTGCTTTTTCAGCTTGTCTCTTGTCTTTTCTTGCTGTTTAGGTTTTTGCTCTTGTAAATTAGTTTTAAAAGCATTCTGCTTGATGAAGTTCAGAATCAAAGAACACTGCAATTCCAAAACAGTTCTGAGCTTCTTTGACGGCTGGCGTCTGCGCAGGAAGGAAGCGTACATGGCAGGGACATTCCAGACAAACTTGCTGCGTGCAAGGGTGCCGAAACAACGACAGGAGGAAGAAGAACGAGGAGCTCTCTTGGCACAAGTTCCCGGCCGACATCGAGCTGAGGAAGAGATGGATAACGGAAATCAATCTAGCTCTACCAGAGGGGCAACCATGGTGGGAGCCAAGGGCCAGTAGCAAAATCTGTGGGGCCCACTTCAACACTAGTGGAAGGAAGAAGTACGAAGATAAAATTCCAAGGTTCTTCCCCCCGAAGACGAATCCCGAATCCTCAAAAACGCCACGTACGCGACACAGTTTTTTTGGCAAGATCCTTTAGAAGACGTTTTAAGGGGCAGCAGCCAATCGAGGGTGCAATATTTTGTGGTCACGGCAAGATGTTGCGCCCCTGATTGGATGCCGGCTATTTACGTATTCACATGTAGAGAGTGCCTGTCTACGCTCTTTGCACATGCAGAGATGGCGTGATCGTGCAGTGCGACGTAGACGGCTGGCCGGTCTAACAAACATGTAGCTTCCACCGTCCTGTCACTTTAGCAGTGAACAGAGTATAGCCCTGCGTGACACTGAGAAGGTCAGGTGGTGGGTTCGAATCATGAGATGTTGTTTCCTTACTATTGCATTGCAGCCGTTAAAATTGCTGTTTTTGTTCTCTTGCATCATGAAAGTGGTTTGCACCTCATGCAGTGCACCAATAAGAGGTTGAACAGTAGGCTTAACTTGGCAGTTCTCAAACTGTGGTCTGTGAATTCCAGGGTTTGTCGAGAGCGTTCACGGGGTCCACGCCAAATCAAAGAACCGCTCTAAGAAGAAAGGCCTTCCTATGCCATCGCACGAGACCTCTGCTGCATAATGCGGGGGGGGTCCCCGATTGGCCTTCGAGCGGATAAGGGGGTTCATGACGGCCAAAAGTTTGAGAATGGCTGGCTTAACTTACAATCGGAGCTTGGACTGTATTATTCGCACATGAAACCTTTCTACCAGGGAAATTCCTCAAATGATTGATTATAACAGAAGAATATAGCCAAGTGCCAAGCGTACGCTAACCTAACTTTTCAGGCCGGTTTCACCCAGCTGAAATGCATTGTCCGTGTTTTATCCGAATGCAACATATCTTCCCTGCATTTCCCCTTCAATTAATTAATGCGTTTCTTGGAACTGACACATCTGCTCTTCACCCTCTGCACTCATTAATCCACGGACGTCCTGTTTATGTGCCGCCTTAAAGAGCCTCGTGCGACGTTAATCCCACTTTTTGTTTTTAGGAAATCCAGCACAGTCGTTCGCAGACCTGGATCATGTACCATCGATCTTGGGTGTTCCCTCAGGTCAGCCACCATAAAAAGATGTGGTCATTTATTTTTTATACAAAAAAAAAGAGATTCAAAACGAATGTGCATGTTTGATCATCCACAGTTAGGTTTCGAAACTGATGGCAAAGATTTCTTCTACATTGATCGGTTCTGTTTTGTCTCTTTGTGCTATTCTTTTTACATTGCAGACCTGACCTTAGCTGCCCATGAGCAACCTGGAGTTGCCGTCAGTTTACCCAAAAACGAAGGTATGCATAGCCGGCTGTCATAAAATCAGTTCGAAAAGTGTGAACAGGATATGGCATGTGTTAATGTCTCTTTCAGATTTAGTGACAGGGTTTTGGCCCGTTCACACACTTGTGACCCCTTAAGGCTCGTTCACACTCTTGCAACCGAATACGACCGAGAGAAACAAGACCGGTTTTTAATCCTCTTACGACGTCTTAAGTCCCGTTCACACTCTTGCGACCCAGTAAGACCGAGAGAGACCAGACCGGTTTTTAAGCCTTTTGCGACATCTTAGGACCGGATGCGCTACAGCGGAGCTGGTCCTAAGAGATCGCAAGAGGCTTAAAAACCGGTCTGGTCTCTCTCGGTCGTACTCGGTTGCAAGAGTGTGAACGAGCCTTTAGAACCAGCTCCGCAGCAGCGCACCCAGTCCTAAGACGTCGCAAGAGGCTTAAAGACCGGTTCTGTCTCTTTCGGTCTTACTCGGTTGCAAGAGCGTTAACGAGCCTTTAGGGTCGAGTGCCTTGAAACCTTTTAAAATCTCTTATGACGAGAGGACACACTGGCAGCACCCATCGGGTAGAAGTGGAACACTGGGCCGTCCCGTATATTTTCAATTTCTTCCGCGTGTCATTATTTTCTTTTTGGCTTGAAAAACTTTTGTCAATGTTATAAACAAACATTTCTCATAAGTAGTATGTAGATTTGACCTCGCAAATTCCGCCAAACCTTTTCTCTAGTGAAATGCAGTTCCAGGGTCACTGCATAGATGGCTCCAGCGTGTCAGTATGCTTTCCCGTTGTAAGAGACTTTAACAGGTTTTAAGGTGCTCGGTTCTAAGGGGTCGCAAGTGTGTGAACGGACCTTCACAGTCTCATAGTAAAATTCCAGTTTATAAGGTTTTGAAACATCTTAACCTCACCGACTTGCAAATATGCAATGTTCATAACTTTTGAGTTTGTTCAATATTTTGAGTTTGGCAATCTAAGATCGTCCTGTAATTGAAATTTAGAAAGATAAGAAGATTTTGACATTTTGTCCGGTTCCAGTTTGAGAAGCTTGAATTCTCAAAATGGTCTCAGATCTCAAAGTTCGACACTTTCAAAACATTTTTGAAGCTTTCACGAATAAAAAATAGAGGCTTCCTAGCCTAGATCATTTTGACTGAGTTTGCCAGATTTACGGCGGTAGCTGTTAGTGCCCATTCCCAGCCAAAAATGCTTGCGTACGAATGCAAAACCCCACTCTACAGCGGCAGCACTGTTCTCCCTCTCCCCGTCCTTCCTCACGCATACACGCCAACGGCAAGGCTCTCTGTCGTTCCCGCCCCCCCTCTATAGGCCGCCGCTGTTCCAAAAAACCCACGTAATCACGGGGAGAGTACTTTCTGCCTCGCGATCCTCCCCTCTACATTCACATTCCCTCCGGTAATGCTCTTCCTTGTCCCCCCCACCTCCTCTGGCAGCCGCCATTGTAAAATACCCATGTGGTCGCGCTGTGGTGACGCGCTCCCCTCGTCTCCCCACTGCTGCCGCCCAGGTTCCGTCCTTGGAATTCGTTGCAAACATTGTTCAGCACACTGTCTAAAGGCAAATATCTTTCAACGTGCCTTTCCACAGCGCAGCAGTTACCACCGTCAATTGCAGCGTACTATGTGCAGTCGTTTGCAATTTTTACAGCGAAGCTATAAGAATTGCATACGACTGCACAATTCATTGTGTCATCGTCCTCACAAAAAAAAAAAAAATCCTTCAGCGATTGAAGCGAAAAGTGCATATCACGCATGCAACATACAGCACAACATTCATTTCAGTAAAGAACAAGCTTAAAACAAGCATCCGAACCACATTATTGATGATAAGGCATTCCTGATAACAATGCAAAGCACGTAGCGCTCAACACATATGTTTCTCGGTTGTTGCACAAGGTACTGCGGCGACAGCAGCTTGCGACATGGAAAGTGACGTCGCTAGCCTTTTATATATATAAAGTTTTAGTACACTGCAGTACACATGCTGTTTATAAACATGAACTGCCGCTTGCGTCCCAAGCGACTTCGGTTGTTCCACCTTTGCAAGCCTGTCAAGCTTGCTTATGTCACCAGGGCTAGAAAGCATAAATGCTATACTTACATCAAAGTTGGAGATTTAACGAGAGCCCTCGGCTGGACATCTTAATGTCTTGGAGGAGGCAAGTTAGTTTACAAGAATATCCGAAAATTTTTAGCAGATCTCGCGCTTCATTTTTTTTGCCATTCACCTGGAGAATCGGTGGTTAAACATTTCATTGACATTTCAAGCAGCAGTGTTAGGGTGGGCTTTGTTCATTCTTTTTCTAAACAGGAAGTTCTCTGGGACGTCAGAAACTGGAGCACCGCCTGGTGGCGTTTGCCATGAAAAGGGTCTTTAGTGCAGTGGGCAATCGTTGCAGGTGATACCACAGCTTCGCTGGCCAACGACCTTCATTCACAGCGTGGATTGGAACACCGACTTTTTTTTCCAAGTACTCTTACGTCAGACATACCTTTAATGCCATTGAGCAGTTTTTGACGAGGGACCAGCAAATGTTCAACAGCTACGCGTTCGTTTCCGTTTTTGTCTCGATGCCATCTGTCTCGCACAATTTTCTAGCAGTGTATGTGAACTATGGGGAGCGTCTCTCCAGCCATCATCGTTGTCGTCACTTGCGACAGCCGGTAGGATTGATGGTGCAGGTTTCGCGGCTCGCTCCTCGCATCGTTTGGCTGTGAGGCAAAACTAGTTTTGCGCACCGGGTTTATTTTGTGGGGTAATATTTCTGGTTAGGCATCTGAACATAGCAGGAGTATTTGTGTGGTGCCTGAAGCACGCATTAAACAGGCGCATTTAGCCTCCCATTCCTCCCACGCATCTAAAGCCGTCCCAAAGTGGCGACGAACGACGTCGCAAAAGCCGGGGCGTCGTGCCGTCGGACGTCATGGTCCCAGCGGTCGGTGCCACGAGTCTCGGGAACAGGCCCGAGCGAGCGTTGCTTCGGAGTATTGACGTTCAAAATCATTGTTGTCAGTCATCTAGCTTTCCCCCCGAAATCGCAGGCATTGCTCTCCCATCCTCCGGAAGCATCTAAACAGTCTGAGACAGAGAAAGGCGACATCAACCAAACTTTCCAACGCCGTGTAAAAAAAGAAAAAATCTTGGGAAGTTGCGTTTTTGAAGGACAACAATCGCCGGTCGTGTCGGCCTTGCGCCGAGCGCCAAAATGGCAGCGTCCACGAGGGGATCAGGCGACGGGGCGCCGCCACTCTGGGCGCAGCTCGTCGAGTGTGGCACCGTGCGTAGTACTAGTAACGTTGTTGGAATCGGTTGCATTCGTACGAGTGACGGGTAGCAGAGTTGTCTGGGAGGCCATTGCAAATGGTGGAGGCATGCCCGACGAGGTGACAGTCACAACTTTGCGGTCACATCGTTCGGCAAGCCCGGGCAGAAAGAATGTTCCAACGAAGGAAAGAAATCCGAACAGTAAAAAATATGCATCAACAATTTTGAAAAAATGACGTATAGAAGCGATGAAAGCGAGTTGATGGCCTAGTTGGATAAGCATCTCAGTGACAGTGCGAAAGACGAGGATAAGTAGAAGCACTTGTCCTGTCTAGTCTTCTACTTGTCCTTGTCCTTCGCACTAGATGTCTTTAAGATACCTAGTACTAGTAGTACTAACCGAGCGCATTGGTGTTGAGGCAGAAGTGCCAAGGCAGTGGTGTACCGTTTCGTGCCCCAGTTCAAGACCTACCGCAATGAACAGAGTGGAAATTTGCAGTATTTTTGAACGAGAGAAAAACCGCGACTACATTTAAACATTTGAAGGATCGTTTTTGCTGCTTGTTTAGCGTGAAAGCCGTTTTTTGCTGTGGGAGAACTCGTCAGTGCAACACTGGTAATGCAGCCGCTTCAGCCGACGGCAGGCTATGTGATGGGGTGTAACCAACTGCTACATCGAAACATTCATTCGCTTACTACTACTATAAAGTAATCTTCTTTTTTTTTTCTTTTTTTTTTTGTTTATGCAGGTGAACAAGAGTTTTTACAGTCAGCAGCAGTACATGGTGAGTTTGCATGACAGTAATGGAACTGCTGAGCCATTTGTGCCAAACTGCACCAAAAGGAACAGCGTGCTACATGCTGCTCCAAAGGCTGTATTTGTGTACAATTTGTGCCATGTCTGCGCCAAAGGGGAGCTATTCTCGAAGAGGAAACTGAAAGTGTCTGGCACATGGCATTGTTAACAATGCCACAAAGAATTAAAAATTTTTTTCAGATGGTTAAGTATTATGTGCGAAGAGTAGGGTTGTGCGAATATTCGAATTTTTAAATATAGTAGTTAGAAATAAAATGCTATTTGTAGAAATAAAACGCTATTTGATATTCTCTTCAAAATGAACTGTGATATTCATACTTTTTGAAGTGTTGATTGCGGTGGGGTTAGCCCCCTTGAGTGCGCTTCTTCTCAAGCAGCGGTGCACGGCAGAGAAGCAATACCCGCAGAGCTGACACCGGAATCGCGCGACTCGCTTCGCCGCAGCCGAGCTGTGCTTTTAGGTGAAAAACACACTTTCAAAGAGGACTGCTGCATGCGCAAACCTATTGTATTAAAAAAAAAGAAATTAGACATGATTTTTTATTTTACATTGCGGTAAAGTCTTCAAAATTTAGCTGGCTATTATGCAAGAGTATGTTAGCGATGTTTTAACAATTTGTGTTCATTATTAATGTGTTTTTTTCTTTTTTTAATTTAAAATTTAAGTTTGTATATAGCAAGAAGATTTATGAAACCCTTCAATTAGGTATGGCTGGGCTTCTTTACAGGTTTAATTGTATGAAAAATCTGTCGTTTACTTGCCATTCCAATGTAGGTATTGGACTTTCTGAGGCCACAGTCTATAAATATAGCTAGATTGAATTTAACAGAGCGCATAAGTGGGCAATTAGAAGCTTGGGAACAGCTTTCACAAGTTCAACTGAATTTTCGTTTAAGCATGGTGTAACAGTAGTGAAAGGCATAGAGAAAGGCGCAGCAACTATTCAATATTCAATTAAAAAATATTCAGCCAAAACAACTATTCACTTTGAATTTGCCTCAAACCCCAAATTTATTATGTGCACACTCCTAACGTCTGAATAATGCTCGCATCGATTGCGATAAACAGCTAGTGCTATCCAATGTGATTGGTTAGAGTAGCTATGTGCTCTGCTTAGCTACTCTGAACAGTAGCAGGTGGAATACGAGCGAGGGCAGCACGATACAAACCCTACAAAGTAGCCAAAAACATTTTTTTACGTCAAACTCTGACCGAAGGCGCCATCGGTTAATTGAGACATCTGGAAAATTACCGCTGTATGATGTTCAGTAAACAAATATTTGTAGTGGCCAGGTACCCTGTAGGAATGACTCTTCAAATAGTCTCCTAACACTCCAACAACTGCAGTTTTCGTCCACAGGTTAACTTTGAAAGATTGTATAAAATTTGCTGACATGAAAGCTCAGAATTGTTTTCTCCAAAAGTGGGAATCTCTGCTTCGAAACCCGTTTTCTTAGCTACAAGAGCTGCTCCAAATCATCACTTGTCAGTTTCACTGCATGCTGGAAGATGCTTGCCAGCATTACAGAGAAGCATTGGGACAATTGTCTATGCATTCTCGTTTGCTCTTCATCTCCATGGCTCTGAATAATCTCAATTCATTCAGTCACTGGTTTAACTAAGTGAGTGTCGTCTTGTGGAGTTGACCAAGTTAGAACTAAAAAACTTGTTTTATTTTGTGACTTTAAAATGGGAGGGGGGTCATTTGTATGCTTAAAATTGGTGGTGAAGGCTTCACTTAGCTACACCTCCAGTATTTTTTTATGTTCTCACACATTGCATTTTTTTGGAAAGCTTCCCCATTCAGAGCAGAACCAGGGATGACGCATAATTCTGCATTGCCATGTTCCTTGTTGTTACCATCGGAATTGCCAAGGTATTGAAGCTATTGAAAGATTCAGCATTCTAATTTATCACCATCAGAATTATGAAACACAATATTGAGCAGACGAACATGCGCTTTAGAGTTCGACAACACAGATTGGTACCTAAGAATGGTGCTTTATTTGAAACTCAAGGTGTTGAAGGAACAGGATCTGCAATTCTGTGCCGATATTGTGCAGATATTTCTGCTGATTTATTCCCCTGGCGGCTAATGCAAGAATTGCTCTGAAGGCAAAAATTCATTGGACGAGACTTATATGTGCAATTAATTGCCGACTGAAGCTGGCGGGAGCACTTTCGCCCAGTTCAGCATAACTGTGAAGCTGAGCCACCTGCAAACGAAATGATCTTTAGCATTTATGTAAGAAAAAGTTCTTAAACAGACATGAGATGGTTTATACCAATGAAACAATCAATATGTTTGCATGTTTCTGGGAACCGAAACCAAAAGGGCAGCAAGTAATGAGACTACTAAACTAAAGGAACACCGACTAAAAAGCTTCATGTGCTTGAATACGTTACGATTAGGATTCTGTGTTTTCATATCAATCCAAAAAACACTTGGCAGTAAAAAATTTTATCGATTTGGATTTATTCGAAAAACTTGGAATTTCGATGTCACAACAGCACAATGAAAAGCAAGAAGAACGGTATTTTATAAATTTTCTTAAAGAACAGGTTCGATAGTCTTCAGAAAAAAAAAAAAAAAAAAAAAGCCGATTTAGGATTTTTTTTTTTTTTTTTTTAATTGGCAAATGGGAGCTTCTTGTTTATCTCATTAAGGTTTGTTTAGGACAACGGGCCAACAACCTTTTGGGCCACGACAAAAGCAACTGTTTGGATTTGCAGTTTGGATCATACTAGTGTTCCTTAGAGGATGGGTTGGATTTTTATAACAGTGAAAGAAGTGGCCTTATACATTTCATGGAAGGAGGGCAGCTGAAGCCTTTACGCTTCCCGACGACTACATCCATAAATTAGGCTATTTCAAAGTACTTTTTTATTTTTTTTAGCAACATTTGTTTGCAAGATTTATTGTGGAACAGTTAGTACTGCTATTTCAAAGTGCAGCTGCAGAATTATTTTGAGTGCAGCTCTTAGGCGCCCGTTTCTGGCTTGAGCGGCGTCGCCGTAACCACGCTTTGCATTATGGGACATTCCCCATAATGACGTCACAAGGGACGTCACGTGGGACGTCATGAGGGTCACGAGCGACGTCACGAAGGTAACGAGTGAAGGTCACGACTTTCACAGTGACCTTCACGAGTGACGTCACAAGGGAGGATGGAGGAGCCGAAAATACCCTTCTTTCTGTACCCTCCCCTCCTCCTCCTCCTCCTCAAGAGCTGCGCTATAATTCGGCATTACAAAGAATTGTAAACATCTTTCGATTGATGCTAAAGTTGAGGCTTGGGCGAGTTGGTACATCGGAATTAAAAACAGCGCGGAAAGACGAGGACCAGACAAAGAAGTGACACGGACGTAGCGCTACGTCCGTGTCACTTCTTTGTCTAGTCCTCGTCTTTCCGCGCTGTTTTTAATTTTCGATTGGGTTTTTATTAATCAAGTCTGAGGGTATGTTTTTGTCCAAATATACTTTAATATAAAAAAAAAAAAAAGTTAAAAAATTGGGAACACAGTCACGCGTTTCGGAATTGCTCTTAACTCAAAAGGTGTCTTGCAACGTAAATATATTGTGCTCAAAAAGTTTTTAGGAAAACTTTATTGTGTGATTTACGTGTATTACGTACGCAGGCACAAAAGGGGTTTTTGGAGACTTGAGTGTCCACTTTAAGATCAACTTCAATATTGTGCAAAACATTGGAGTTTTAGTCTACCATTCTGATACCTCCGACAGCAATATGGTGCATGCGCAAAGGCGTCGGTGAAGTGTCGGGTATCGTTATGGAGTCATCGGAACGACCTACTTGGACTCCCCGTTATGACTACTACTCATTTTTTAAACCGAGTTGCTACCTTGGTTGAGCTTTTCACGCATCTCCGGACGCACGCAAGGGCTTTTTTCGTTCTTTCATAGGTGATGGAAACACGCCGTTGGGATCGACCAGCTTCCTTTTGAAGGTCACCGAAGACGTCCTGTTCCGGTGCTGTTTCTGCGCCCACGTCACCACCGACCGGCGCGGGATCGTGAGCCACCTGGTTTCCCACGACGATGAACAACCGTCCGAGTGCCAGTACCGTCCCACTTCGTTTGGCTCCACGTCCATTTTGCGCCACCACATTCAAAAGCGGGCGAGAGACAGGTCGTTGAAGTCCTCCGGCTCGATTCAAGCGTGCAAGGACGAGCACCAGCAGTCTCCCGAAGCCTTCACGCAGAACAGCGGCGTAACCAATCGCGTTTTAGCACAGACGAGCGACGAAAAATCTTACAGGTGCGATCTGTGCCCCAAAACCTTTGCTGTGCATGACAGTCTGGCCCTCCATCGTCAAACGCACGGGGGTCAGAAACCTCACAGGTGCAAGCTCTGCCCCCAAGCCTTCGTACAGCTTACAAATTTGGTCGACCACGTTTGTACGCACACAAATAAAAAACCTTGAAAGTGTGGGCTGCGTCGCGAAGTTCTGGAAGTGAGGCCCGCACTGTTCGCGTTTGGGCCCCTACAGGTGCAGGACGTTACAAGTGCAAGCGTTGTTGCGAAGCCCTTGCTTGGAATGAAACTCTAGCCCGAAGGGCCAACGGTGCTCCTTGACAATTTCTAACCAGCCTTGCCTCAGCAGTCGCTTGTCGACATGCAAGGATGACGGAACCAGGGACATCTGCAGGAGGACACTGACGTGCAACAGGCCTTCCGAATGCATATTTTGGAATCTTCAATCTGTGTTCTAGTGTGCCATAAGCTGAAAACATAATTCCTGTGTTGTTTTTTTTTTACTTGATAAAAAAAGGTTTTTTTGTTGTTTTTTTTTTAGGAGGGAGGATACACAAAATACATTAGGCTACTGGCAGCTCTGTAGCAAGTTTAGCGCAATACACTAAGGAACCGATTTATGCACTTCCTTCAGCGGGTCAGTGCACTATCGGGTTTATCTAGGGGTGTTGGAACGTAAGCCGTTCATCGTATCGCATAATGATCATTGCATCAAGTCTGTGCAGGACAATACCTCGTCAAGTCGTAGACCACTCCAGTGGCAGTCAGAGGCGGCAGCATCCGATTACAAACGAGCATGCTTTTTCTTGCATTTCAAGCTTGCATAGTTTGACGTGTGTTTTCTTGAGGTATGGTCAAACATGTGTAAAAATATTTCTATCCCGGCTGGCTTCTTTGTTATACACTCTTGTTTCACATGGGTACAACCAAGATAGTCTCGCAGATAATAAATGTTTGACCAGACTCGTTTTCGCTTATTCTTTTGGCCGAGCGATGTAATTTCACTGGCAGATGTCCAGGAACACTTAGAAGGTTCCCATTTTGACATACTGTACTGCGCTGAGGACTTATTTCAGTGATTACCTTGCCATAAAATTTATTCCAGAGTGTTTTGCATGTTTCAGTTCAACAGCATGTTGAGTGGACGCGTGAGAAATGGCAGCTCAGACCTCCACTCCTACAAATATCTTGGTGTTTCTATTACCCTAACATGTCATGGAACATTCACATTGATCACATCTCTGCTAACACCAACTCTATGCTTGGTTACTTAAAACTAAATTTGGAATTAGCCCCCGTGTCATTAAAATTACTTTTATTTAAAACACTGGTACATTCAAAATTGGAATACGCTGCAGCAATCTGGGGTCCCGGTCACTCAACACTTTTGTCCAACATTGAGGCCATACAAAATCGCGGCGCACGATTGATCTTTTGTAATTATCACCACACCGCAAGTGTCTCGTTTATGGAAACTAACTTGCCTTTGCCTCTTCTGTCTTTGCGTCGCAAACTTTCTCATCTGCCTTTTTCACGAAATTTATTACAACTCTATCCTAAAAGAAAAGTTTCTTCCTCCCTCGCATATCTCAGCTTGCCTTGATCATCAATGCAAAGTAGGATTTCATCTCTTTAAGATCACCAACGAGAACCACCTGCAACCTCAGTTCTATGCTGTGTTCAAGCAGCGTTTCTGAGAAATGCAGAAAGTCATTTACGGATCGAGACGGAGGACGGTCAAGAGAGCAAACAAAATATCACAGCATTGAATCGAAATACACTCAACGTTGTCGTTTATAATTTTGTATTCACGAACTATTTTGTATGATAGCTCTGAGCGAATATATATGGCAACACCACATTTCTTGAGCGGCACGCAGACACAGTCGTAACCAGGCAGCTGGACACACTCATCAGATGTAAACCACGTCTCACTAAAACAGATTATGTCAAAACATTGATTTAACTCAGATAAAAAAAGATTTACCTCGTCGAATTTTTTTCGCAAGCTTCTTGCCATTCTTTCTCTCCTCTCCACTTCTCCGTACGGTGCGGGGATTTCGGTTTCGGTTTCGAGCAGTTGCGTTTTTTGGCTTTATTAAAAAAAATACTTGACTCTACAGCAAAATATTAGTTGGGTAGTATTCTGACACCATAATCAATCGCCTGGCAAAAAATGAAAAAAAAAAAAATAAAAAAAAATAAAAATGACCGCATCTTCACGTGGTGAATGATGTTGATTGAGGCGAAGCTCTGGTGATGCTGATGATACTGATTTTGTTCATGGGAGTGTCACGTGAAAATATCGCGTCCCTGATTGGCTGCAGCAATTCGCGTCAGCATCAGCAATTCGCGTCGTTCAAGGGAAAGCTAGGGAACAACCCGCCAGCAACCTCAAAATTGCTGGAAAAGTTGCCCCGTCTGAAGCGGGCTCGCGAGCCCCCTACTCGTCCCGCAGTCGTGGCCGAGTGGTTAAGGCGATGGACTAGAAATCCATTGGGGTCTCCCCGCACAGGTTCGAATCCTGTCGACTGCGCAAACATTGTTTTCTTTTTTTTTAAAGGGCAACTCCATTTCGTTTTTGATATTGAAAAAAACTATGCAGCCCTCTTCAGCAAAGACCACATGCCAAGTATCGCGATGTAATTCCGTCAAAATATTTATTAATCTGGCCAGCAAACTTCCAAACGAGCCAAGTCGCCGAAATCTGCTCGCGCGACGTGAAAAGCAATCAACAGCGTTGTCAATACCACGGATTGATTTTGGCGCAGCCAACAGTGAGCCCCTACATCAGAGGCATGACTACGTCAGTTCTATGTTTTGGTTGTTTTCACTTCTCCGGGCGAAATTGAACGATGACGTCGTGAATGGAAGTGGCTCCTCCCGGCGTTGCATGCGCCAAGCTGGGAGCAGACGCACTCGTTTCCTCGTTTCGCCTCTGTTGCAGTAGGAGGACGGCGTTTTGTGGTTTTGTAGCGGTTCGAGCGCGGGCAGCATCCCCGAAGCCTAGCTGCGATGCCTGGCGAAAGGGCCATAGGCTCACGATGTTGTGTTGCTGCCTGCTTGAACTATCAGTTGACCAGCGCGGGAGTTGTTTTTCACAAGTTCCCTCGCGACAGTGCGCGTCTCATTGTTTGGACAGACATCGTGCGCCGTTGGAACTCCGAGAAGCCGTGGTCGCCAAAGAGCAGGACAATGATCTGTTCTGACCACTTTTTGCCGGAATGCTACCAGCGAGATCTGCGCTTGTTATGCGACGCTGGTTTTTCAACCAAGTACGCGCGTCTGGAGCCAAACGCCGTGCCATCGATCCTCGTTCCTCGATCCTCGCCTCCCCAAACAGCAGACGAATCATGCGTGAAGCGTCGTCGAACCGGGGTACGTATATTCCTCGCTCACGTCGCGCTGGCTGATGCTTTTGTTTCTGTTCGTGCGGGCGAGCATGTGCGATCGCAAGCCTGTTGAGGCGACACTCACGAGCACATCGCACGTGAACGCACGCGAGCGTTTTGTGCTATATATCAGTGGAAGTGAGTGCGCGTGTCCGCGCGCGGGCTGGCGTGCTCTTGCAAACGCTCAAACGGCTGTACGAACTTTACCCAGGACTGGACCGAACCTGAAATTCGGAATCGTAACTCTGAACACCGCCGTTATGTACTATAATATTAATATATTTCAATAATCTATGCTGTTACCAGAAAGCAGTACATTTAAGAGCAAATAAGGTGTTTTCAAAACCAGTAATCTGAACAATATATCCGATCATCATTGCAAGTTAGACTAGAAAACTTTTCGTTTGTTTGGCGACCAAGATATTCCCCTTCTAATATAGGCATCCAATTGGTATTTATGTTGAGACTTGTTGCACATCGTTATTTTAGCACAGGGCAATTCTTTCCACCTCTACTCTCTCCTCTTCCACCCCACCAACATTCTGGCTGACTCCCAGACGGCCTGTCGGCACTTCCTTTTCAACACCCTGCATCTATCCACTGCGTCCCTACTCGACTCCTTCCTATCCTCCACCTCCCACACTTTCCGGTTAGTCTGGGTGCCTGGGCTGGGTGCTTGGGCATGCAGCCGTCCCTGGTGATGAGTGTGCTTGTGTACTCGCCCGAGAACTCTCTCACCGGGAACTTGGGGAAGTCTTTGCCATCATCTGACCAACCGAACAACATAATCCTCCTCCTCAGCCTTCTCTTACTCGCAGACAGGGCGTTCTATGACATCAACTCTTTTCCCACACTTCTCCACATGGTCTGGTTATGCCAGAACATTCCATCTGTCTCGCCTCTTCCCAACCCCTCCCCCACCTCCTGGGAGGAGCGGCAGACCGATGACGCAGCCACCGGCCAGCAATAGCAGGTGGACCGTGCCAAATTGGTGGCCGCCATTTTTGAGGCTCCGGACTTTGGCCTTCACCTGGGATGCTGGAACCCATCCCTACAATAAAGTTTATTCATTCATTATTTTATAACTTTTGCATGGCCCTTACGCTTAAACTAGGCTATAGGGTGTGTTATGAACAAATCAAAGACGATAAATATTGACTGATTGGTTTCACAGAGCGGTGACCACTGTAGCAGCAGCACACTGTCGAAGGACAGTAGCTTGCCAATGGTCACTACATGGGATGACGACTCAGAAGCACCAACATATGAGTCATCGCTGGATGTACCAGTGGCTCGAGAAGAACCTGTTGGTCAGAACCAAGCCAAAACAGCATGCCTTAGCCAAGTACGTATTTTTGTTTTCATTGGTGCAAATTAGCCATATCTTATGCATGAGCGTGTATGAGTAACGAAAGATGTTTACTAATACTGAACGTGCGTGTCCTTGGCCCGCAACCAAAAAGTGAATCATCAACCGCGTCTCGCATTGTTTGATATAGGGTGGTGTCAAAAAACAAAATTTCACTTCCTTTGATTGCACTTTGGAGTGCAGGGAGGGGGGGGGGGGCCGGCGGGCTGCATCCACCATTTGCCCTATTCGTTACGTGGAGGCGCTTGTTTATGAGCAAAGTTTTGCGGTGTTGGTAAATCCCACAAAACCTAATGAGCATCTCTACCGACGGCAGACCTCAAGAAGCACCATCGAAGACGCTCTTAGGCATCATATACCTTAGTTCACTACGCTTTTCTGTCCATCAAGGCTCACTGGGGCCATTTTGGCCACTAGTGAGCCAATTCCTCAAGTAACAGATCCTGTAAACTCCAAATAAATATCAATATGTATGAAAATTGAGTACCAGCCAACGCTCCTTTGCATTGCCGACTTCTTTGACTAACGCAACCAATCACAAAAAAAAAAAAAAAAAAAAAAATTGCGCAAGCTGGAAAACATTGCCTCCACCCGCAGGAAAGCAAAGGGCAAAGGGCCGTTCACACTCTTGCGACCGAGTACGACTGAGAGAGACGGGGTCTCTTAAAACTTCTTAAATGTTTTTAAAATGACGGAACACACTGGCATTGTGGCGCCATCTATGCGGTGACCCTGGAACTGCATTTCACAAGAGCGAAGGTTTTGCGGGATTTCCGAGGTCAAATGTGCGTAACACCCATAGAAAGGCTCGTTTATAACATTGACAAAAGTTTTTCGAGTCAAAAAAGAAAGGATAATGCGCGAGAAATAAAAAAAATATGCCGGACCGCCGAGTTTACACTGCTTCCCAATAGATGGCGCCAGTGTGTTCTCCGGTTTAAGAAGTTTTAAGGAACCCAGGTTTAGGAGGTCGCAAGAGTGTGAACCGGCCTTTAGGCCCACAAACTAAGAATTCTACCGCGGGTTTGAGCAGAAAGTATGTCATGTGAAACCAGCCTATATGTACGCAAACTCAACTTTGTTATGTCACGGCACTGTGGTGGCGCGTCGGGCGCACTTCCGGTATGGGCTGTGGGCGGGAGACCCCATGCGAGACATGTATTCCTGCATTGAAAGGAACCGGACAAAAATCTGCCTTCTAGTCAAAATGCCGCAGCTGAGGATGTACCAAAAAGGTCAGTTTTCACGTGCTCGGTTCGTCCGAGAACGCGGATATGTGTCGTGAAAAGGAAAAACCAGACGCCGTCGGACTATGATTGTTTGAACAAGAAGCGCTTTGGGTTGAAATCACGGATACTTGTAGTCATCAGCTTTATTTGTTTTGTTCCAACATAACGCCGAAGAACCGTCAAGTTGTGCGGACCACCACTACGCGAAATTTTGCGGTGTAACGAGCCTCGCTAATTTCGCTGATTCCGCTCAAGTAGTCGGAGATTGCCAGGAAGACATAGGATCAACAATTCGAACGCGAAAAAGGGCAGGGGAATTGACACCGACGCTTGAAACGTTTGAAAGAGCAGGCGACAGTTCGAACGATCAGGCGGCCGTTTGAACTTGAAAACGCACTGAGCGTGGTTTGCAGGTGGTCCGCACAACTTCATGGTTTTCTGGCGTTCATGTTGGAACAAAGCAAATCAATCTGATGACCAGAAGTATCCATGAATTCAACCCTAAGTGCCTACCGCCCAAGCAATCGTTGTCCGACGGCGTCTGCTTTTCCCTTTTCACAGCACATATCCAGATTCTCGGGCGAATCGAGCGTGTGAAAACTGACCTTCAAACCTTTCTCAACACCTTTGGTACGGTCCCAGTCACGGCATTTTGGTGAGAAGGCATGTTTGTGTCTAGTTTCTTTCAAAATAATGCAGGAATACACGTCTGGCATGGGGACTTCTGCCCACAGCCCCAGACCGGAAGTCCGCCCGACACGCCACCACCGCGCCGTGACGTCGCAGAGTTGAGCTTGTGTATACCGGTTGTAGTAACTGACGCACTGCTTTTACAGAGCGGGAACCAGGCTTCCGCTTCTGGGCCAGGGTGCAACAGCAGCACCGCCGCTTCATGCGACACCGTGCCAGCAACTACTGCAATTGATGGCCATTTTGGACCGCACTTGGAGTCGTCCATCTGCCACATCTGTATGTGTGTGGTAACGAGAGGTATGTAGTGACTTGGTTCACCGTATCGTGTAATGACAGAATACCTTTATCAGTCTCTCTCTCTCTCTTGGTGCAATGTTATTCGAGTCTATATCTGAAATGTAATGATTTTGGTGTGCCAGGTACACCGACACTGTCTGTGGACAAAGCTGTGCAAGCCTTCGAGGAGCTTTGTCAGACCTCGACTGAAAATCCGGCACTACCAACATCCTCCGGTGAGTAGCTGTGGTGGCTTAAGAATATAGTGCCATCTATGTAATACAATTGTGACAAGAGTTTTAATAGTATACATAACATAGATGCATTATGTCCGTGTTTCCCCGAGTTTATTTTTCGTCAAATTTGGAAAGTGTTATTTGGACTTCATTCTTCTATCAAAACAAATTTTAATAGTGTAAAATATTTACAATGAGCTCATCTATGCTTTTCAAAACAAGCAAGTGTGCTTGTATTTACTACAAGCTTGCTGTAATAAATACAAGTGCACATGTTTGTATACGCATGAAAGTAAATGTCGCCTCGCTGTTGCAGGTGCCACAGAAATGTGCCGTGAAAGCGCAGGCTGAACAACATACCGTAATATCCCGAGTCATCGCCCATCCCCGAGCCATCACCCACCCCATTTTTTGGGCCAATATCGATTTCCGAAAAAACACCGAGTCATCGCCCACCCCTTCAAATACCCCAGCGCGGACTCTGCGATCCGCGAACACTCATCCTACCCGAATGACGCGGCCGCGGACCTTACAGTTGGAGGACGTCCGTGACAAAGTAAAACGAAGGAGGGAAAGACACTTCTTTTTGTTTACGCATTTCCTCCGTGAGCGACCCCAAAGTGGTCGTGTATCCGTGCGAAAAGAAAACGATGGAGATAACAAAATAAGAGTTTGTTAATGTAACCGCGGAGTGTTAGGTCAGTCTGTCTCCGCCGAAGGAAGGACACCGCGAACCCGCTCCTTCTTCCCGCCCGTCGCAACCGCGGTTGTGCAATATTTTAGGCAAAGCCATCACGTAAATAAAGCTTTGCTGGAACGCCCTACACAGACGTTTGCAGAGCGTCCCAACCGTGCATTGATAGCCCGCCGTCCACGGACGCACGTATGTACGCACCAAACAAGAAAGTTGCGCAAGAGCTTGCGATTGACAAGGCGCCCGACTTGGCCCGACGCCAAAGTATTTGCCAACGCGACCGCCGGCTTTCCCAGGATTGCTCTTGGTCGCTTCTTTGGTCCGCTCGCTCGCTCGTTGCGCCTGGTCACTAACTAGGAGAACATAGTGGTGACATTCTTTCACGGAACAAACGTTCACGCTATATGCAGATCGGCGGTGTTTCTAGCGCGTATGCAAGCAACGGACTTCGCTATAGTAAAATATTGTTTCGTGAGCATTTTTTTCTATAAAACAATGAAACTAAATCGAGTTTTGAGTTTGATGTATCTCTTGTGCATCAGTGCTAGATACGCAGAGAAAAATAAGCGGTTTTTTCCGCTTTTTTTCAAGTGTTTGTGCTCACCCACCGAGACATGGCCCACCCCACTTTTTTAATGAATTTCAGGCGGTAGGGGGGTGGGCGATGACTCGGGATATTACGGTAGTAGTATACACCAACTCGTGTTTACAAACAAACCGGAACACCCCTAGCGTACGCCACCGGCGCCGTGCATGCGCGATGGGGGTGTGGGCAAGAAGCTTGCCGTCGCCCATAAACAAACTATTGAAATGCAATGTTGTCGGCGTCGGTGTGAGTTGCCCTGCCCTTTTTCGCGTGCGAATTGTTGATTCTACGTCTTCCTGGCAATGTCTGACTATCTTGAGCGGCGTCAGCGAAATTACCGAAGCTCGTTGCACCGCAAAACTTCGCGTGAATAATGTGGCATGTGGCAATTCAGTCCGTGTGGACGCCGCAGTATTTACGCTAAAACCTGATTCGCATGATGAGATTTCGCTCGCAATTTATAGTCACGACGCCGCTCGGGCTGCAAAAGCATGAACTGTAGCTGAGATGGTCGACGTCGATACTGAAAATCGCAAGCAGAATCGGACCAGGTGAATTAGGCATAACAAGTCAATGATGGTCTCTGGTAACAATGACCAACATCTCCTTGCATCTACTGTTTACATCGAGCCTGCTTACCAGCCTTCAAATTTAAGTTTTTTGAGGCCTGCACTTACTTCTTATCGCAAGTACCGGGCCAACATTTGGTCTACGGGCCAGCGTCGTCTAAGAGAGCAGACGACAAGCAGAAACATTTGAAAGAGCAGACGACAGTTAGAACGATCAGGTGGCCGTTTGAACTTGAAGACGCACTGAACGTAGTCCGCAGGTGGTCCGCACAACTTGACGGTTTTCTGGCGTCCATGTTGGAACAAAACAAATAAATCTGATTACCACATGTATCCGTGAATTCAACCGAAAGTGCTTCCCGCCCAAGCATCCGACGGCGTCTGCTTTTCTCTTTTCAAGGCACATATCCAGATTCTCGGACGAACCGAGCGCGTGAAAACTCGCCTTCAAACCTTTCTTGACACTTTTGGTACGGCCCCAGTCGTGGTGTTTTGACGAGAAGGCAGGTTTTTGTCTGGTTGCTTTCAAAACAACGTAGGAATACACGTATGGCATGGGGGCTTCTGCCCACAGTCCCAGACCGGAAGTGCGACCGACGCGCCACCACCGCGCCGTGACGTCACATAGTTGAGTTTGTGTATAGGAACTTCAGCTTCACGCACCCCCATTCAAGTAACTTTGCCCGTACCCACTGATGGAACTATGCTGTCCATGGTGACTATGGTCTGAACTTGAGACTGGAACACCTGCTAGCACCAGACGTACAGCCTTATTTCTGCCGTGACCTAGAAATACATTGCCTCGTTCTCTGAAAAAAACTGACACCCGTCTTTCTCAGGACCGACGACCCTTCGCACTGATCCAACCTGATCTTTATTGCGCGCTTTTTTCTTTTCCCCGGTCGGTGAGACCTTCAAAATCTAAATTTTTTTTCGGATAAATTCGAATTGACAAAAGTTTTACGGGCAAATGGTTTTCGGATTTTATTGGCTTTATTTGAAAACACAGAACCACCGTTATATCATAACCATGGTGTTGAACCGCCGATTTTGTGTTTTGTTCTGGTTCGGTCTCGGTTCCAGCATGCCTGCTAAATATTAGTTTGATTACTGCCGCTACCAAGCATGAACTGGTTCCAACCAGTTCATAACACTACCTTCGACTGTGGCCATTCATGCATTTCCCTCATCTTTCGTTGAGCCTGGGCTATTTTGCAGTAGCATGGCAGAAAGGTGGGGACCTAATGTTTTTATTGCGTCAAAATAAACTTGGAAGGGTGAGAGTGACGGATATATATTTTTGCTCATCAATTGTGAAAACTGCACTGCATCACAAGTCATGTCATGCACACTGTTACTGTGCGTGTTAAACAGTTTTTCAATTAACGGGGAACCGCCATGCACATCTGGTCGAGTTCTGGTTTGGTCAACAATAATTGCTTTAATCCCGTTTTTGCTTCGGTTTAGTTTTGACACCATAATGTTTGCTTTGGCATTCAATCTTTTCCAGGCGTGGAAAAGATTGAATTCCCTGAGGTGTCAACTTATGTCCAAGAAATTGAAGTTGCTGCACTGAAAAATGCATTTGTTTTTGTTCGGTTTCCAACCTGCATCTTGTAGGCGGGGTAAGCCTTGTCTTAGGCGGGCATCATGCTCTTCAGTTGTGCACCCAAAGTTGAGCACATTATCCAGATTGACAATGGTGCCTGTTGTGTCCCAAAGAATACAGTTCTTCATCTTTTGAAAAGCCGGAGCAGTGGACGCGAGCCCAAAACATACTGTGAACAGGAAGAGACTTTCATGAGTCACAAACGCAATGAGGTCCCCGCTCTCCTCTATCAGGTTCAGCTAGTGGTACGCTGACGAGAGGTCCCGCTGGTTGAAGACGTGGGTGCCAGAAAGCTGGTGAAGGAGCTCATTTAGACACAGAAGAGGACGTGAATTGAGAACAACAGAAGTGTTTGATTTGCGGAAGTGGTCTGTGATGCATTAATGCGCTCGATCACCCAGGAGTGCTCCAACTTTGCCGGCTCGACAGGAACTTTGTCACGCACTGCAAAAGTTATCCTTCATAGATTCTGTTGCACCAGACTGATGGACGCTTCGTCTTCACCTTGTGAACATATCCGATGGTGTGGCCCGTACCTGAGAACAGCTGGAGGAAACCTTTGACGGCCTCTGGAAGGTTGTTTGCCGAAACGATAGTCACCTGTCCAGTGGCGTACCAACTTGTTTTTGAGTGGGGGGGCAAACCAGGCACTCTGCTACCCCCCCGCCCCCCCCCCCCCCCCCCCCGCCCCTCGGGGCCGGCGGACACGGAACTTTGTTTCTATTAGGGAGGTAGTTTCTATCTACCAACGTTTTTCTAAGCACTGAGGTGAAGACAAGCTTTTACACACTACATAGTAATGGTGCATCAGGCACGTAGCCAGGATTTTGTTTCGGGGGGGGGGGGGGGGGGGGGGGCGGCCATGGCAAAATGCTGTATGATGGGGAGGGAGAGAGGAGGCCCCATCAAAATGGAAAATTTCGGCGGGGGGGGGGGGGGGGGCGAAGGGCAGGCCCCATGCCCCCCCCCCTTCCCCCCGCCACCCCCTGGATACGTGCCTGGCGCCGATCATATCCAACGTTGCTATACCCCGTTTACCCGTACAGCGCAGCGGAGGCAAAAAGCGTGAACTGGGCGTACACGTCTCGAAGCTGCGATCTCGTGCTTAATAGTGAATGGAGTACAGGAGCGATCAAACATGTGTGTGCTCTGTTTGGTTCTTTTAATATGGCAAGAAATGTGTCCCTGAGTACGGGACCGACGAAAAAAAACAGCCTTCCCACTTTTCCTAGTTACTGTTACATTTTTCTCAGAAAGGACCTCCGCTATTTCAGGGGGGGGGGCAAAACACATACCTTGCCCCCCCACTCTGAGAAGTGGGGGGGCAAGCGCCCCCCTTGCCCCCCCGGTTGATACGCCCATGCACCTGTCCTCCGCAGGAGATGAAAAGTCCAGTTGAATTTCCAATTCTCGTAAAGCATTTCTAGTCCCATTACGGCTGTCTTGTTCGGACAACGTGGAATGTGCAATCGCCATTTCTTTGCGCCAACTGTACTGGTGAGCTGACTTTTTCCAAAATGTTTGGAATAGCAATGTTTTTTTATGGAGTAGCCAATGAATGCAGTACTTGTAGGTTGCAACTTACAAGAATGGAAGCATCTTCTGTAGACGCTTTCCAGAAGGATTGAAACCGAGGGTCTTGTGTCTACTAGGAGTTTGATAAGAAGGAACGCAAGTATCCTGCATGTGGTACAGTTTGCTGGTATCTGAGTTGGTATACTTCAGTTTGTTCTCTGCTTGGTACTTGTGATCCTGTCAAAACTGTTTGCTTGCAAACAAAGGCAAAATGTCCAATCTTGCATTTTCTGCATGCTTGATTCCTTGCAGGACATTTAGGGTAGTCTGCCATGTGGTGCATTGAACCGGATCTGCAGTACATGCTGGACCACCTTT